GGCCCAGTGGACCTGGCAAGGCCATCCTGTCACGCTGAGGCATGCTTCACCCCGGCGTCGATGGGCAAGGAGAGGGGCAGCGATCAAACCCTGGTGGGAGAGGTCGTTTTGAAGGTGCTTGCGATGGTTGAAAGGATGTTTGATGCTGTAAGTGGTGGGCGAGGTGGGCCATGCTATGCCCATCACTGGCAGTTTCCGGATGTTTCGCCGAGCCAGTTGCCCTGTCAACATGGCCTTTTGCCTCGCTTCTAGAGGCGCCCGTTGTCCAAAACAAGCACCATTGATGAGATATACGTTTCCTGGCACCATTGGTGCACTAAAAGCTCGAAACACTGATTGGTTTGCGGCCGCCCGCTTTGGAGACACCCAGATTCCTATATATATATAGTCTATAGTCATGTTGGAGTAGATAGAATGTGGAAAACAACAAAACATAACAACACCTGTTTTGGGATTGGTTCTATCTACTCCAGGATGGTTATACATCCGTGCACTGCAGGACATCATCCATGAGCAGTACCGCCAGAAGTTTTACGAGAACCGCCTGCAGACCGTTCAGAGCGTCGACTCACGCCGGCGCACAGTGCAGGCGATGCCCAGCGCACGCGGCTAAGCGATTCTTATTGTGGGGAGCTACTGTGGATGTGGCTGCAAATGCAAGGATATCAACCAGGACATTAATTTAGTGACTTAAACATGTTAGCATACATTTCATCCAATGGACAGAGGCGACACTGATGGATTTCTCCATAGATACAGCTGAACAGTTCATGGTGAATGGACAACGGTTATTGCATGAGCCACCTCCGCTTTCGTGGAACTATTTTTGCTGTACGTGCCTTCCATTTCGCCCAAGTGCGAAGACATGGATGCCGTGGCCGAGGGGTGTACGGCTGCTGGCCCTCGCTAGTGCCTTGTTGGTGTTTTGAAGGGTGCCAGTGCTGCTGTGGGAGAGCAAGTAGCAACAAGCTGAGAGCTGGAGTTAAAGAGCTTGCCCCCAAGACACGATGGACCAAGCGCGTGCGATGCCAACTAATTTGTTCCATGCGCGTTATATCACTAGGAGAGAGATTTCGGGATTCCCGAAATCCTGGACGAGCAGCCTCACTCCTTCTTGCCTTTGGGCAATGACTTTAGTGGTCATAGAGATCCGGGATCCATCCATGGGAGAGCGAAGCAGTGAAGGGTGCTGGACCAAGCTGTTTCCGACCAAAACCTCTCCATGGCTTGTTTGATGTGAACCCCCCGCTTTGTCAGCGCAATACGCTTGTTCTCATTTGGCTTCATCTAGCTGCAGCTGAGAGCAGTCCTGAGTGTTGCAAGCCCGTAGGTGCAGGGATTCGGAAGCCGATGGATCGCGTCAGCTGCTCCGACTTTGCTTCGGCACGTCGAACCGAGAACCGCCAGCCGTCACCTCCCTGCCATCGTTAGTGACCATGTGCATCCGACCGGGTCGCAAGAAGGGGGGGCCCTTTGTTCAGGCTGCTACAACCACTCAAAAGCAATATGAAAGGACAAGTTAGGAAACATGCATTCATATGCGTCTGGCGTGTTGTACTTCCTTATACTTCCTTTAATTTCATGGCCCGAACCATGGCGACCCGGTGGGTCCGCGGCGCTCGGCCAAGCCGAAACGAGAGCCCAAAAAGAGAGCCCAAAGCGGAACGTGAACGTGAACGGTTTCACCGAAGGAACTGGGCCAGGACCGGGACGCTTTGGACGACTTGGCCAGCGAAGATCTGAACAAGTCGTGTTCCCTTGATAGGGCCGTGGCTCAAACAGCATCTCTCTCCAGATCTTGGTCCAAGAGCGCCACTTGGATGAATTGAGGGCGAATGAGGGTTTTAAAACTGCAGGTGTGAGCAAAACTTTGAAACACCAACCCTGCAGAATTCGTGCAGGCTTTCCAACAGCGTCGCAGGCTACCATTTTCTCGTGCCGAGGATGCAGATTGCCGCTGCACCCGCCCACTTGGCGCAACCCAGACACCTGGCAACGCCTCCGGCTCCCAACGCAGTGCGTGCCGCGCACCATCCTGGTCTGGCACGTGCGGGTGCGCTGAGTGCTGCGGGGGTGTTCTTCTCCGCTCTATCGCGGCGAAGAAAGCTTGCAGCGCGGCGGGCGGAAGGGGAGCAGGTGGTAACACCTTGGGAAGTGGAAGCTGGTGAAGATGGAGTGGACTATGTGGCTTGGCTCTGTATGGAGCAGGCTTTTTAGTTGTCTTTTGCCAGCACAACGGTTGATTGGAGATGTTTGGGGGTTGCACTTGTACTCTTATATATACGTAGTCCATTCACTTCTCATTCTATTGGGTATGCAGGGGGTTCTGCTGGGCTTTGGGAGGGTTTCTGGCAACCGGTAGAGGCCTAGCCGCCCAAATCTTGCCCAAAGTCGAGGGGTCGCCTTCTTCATGGTTCTCCCATGCAGTGACGCCCTCGCCCAGTCATTCTGTAGATAGATTATGATAGATGATGGCCATCTTTTGGGTACAACATTGCATGGTACTGCGATGTACGGCGCCAGTCAGCCAATACGGTATAACAGTGGCATGATTGTCTCGATATTTTCTTAAACGTATTTCAGGTGATGGATCGATGAAACTACGATGGACTCCTGACATTAATTCAGTCCTAATCGACCAAGACTCCTGACATGATCACCACCTTTCGGCAGTGGTGGGTGAAACGCTCCCATAGCGCATCTTTGGGGGTGTTTTCTGTGTGCAGATTGTGAGGATAAGCTGATCGAGACCTTTGGTTGTCAGCCAATCACCTCAGAGCAGATCGAGCGTATCGAACGCCTCACGGGCAAGCGCCCGCATCGCTTCCTGAGACGAGGGCTCTTTTTCTCCCACAGAGATCTGGATGAGCTGTCCCTGGGAACGCAAAGAAAAGCAACGTTTTGGACCATCCTTTAGGGTCATCAATTCACTCCCGCGTTACGCTTCGTCTGCCCAAATGAGGTCTTACGGACCTCATTTGAGATCCGGTCATGCAAAACCAGTGTGAGCAATTACTCAATGAAGTCAAGGACCAGATTTAACTTGGCCCTTGGACTTGTAGGGCATGCGGTACTACAGGGCCCCTTAGATGGTAAAGGTATTTGCGTGTTTCTTAAGAAAGTGCTGATCCGTTCTAGTCTGCGGTCCTGGAAGCTTGTTGAGATGCCATCAGTCACAGAAACTTAGCATTTGCAGTGGTGGGATGTTTGACATTCTTGCGCGCACCAGCCGCCGCTGCAAGGTTGAATGCCTATGAGACGCTTTGGATGACATCAGACAGTTTTGTATAGTTTTGTGGTCAAGACCTGGTTTTGGATGTTGGTGCTTTTGTGAGTGATTCAGCGTCAGGAAGGGAGAAGCCTTTTACATTTACACAGGTCGAGGTGTCTCATTTGCAAGAAGCGAGCCTGGCGGCCGGTCGGTGGTTCAAAACCCATGATCTCTGCTTGCAGCATGCTAGCTTGTTGGGGAGATTGACCCAATGCCCACGGCACTATTGATTCGATGCCAGGAATGGATGTCAGTCCAAACCACTTTTGTCTTCAAGTTCGTCCTCAAGACTCATGGCCGATCTGCCTAGAGTGGGTACTCGAACAGCATATACCACCCAAACAGGTGAACGGAATCAGTGGTGGGATTTCCTAGAGTCATCTCAAACTAGTGCATAGGAAAAGAGAAATCCTATGACTTGGGGAGCAGCTCATGGGTTCTTATCGAACTGCACTGCTGAACTCAGCAAGTCCTGACAGGATGAGACCACACTGCGCACCACGTTCATCCCTCGTCTCATCCACCGCCTTCGGGCCCGCCCCCGGAACGGTGGGGCCCCGGACGACGTGGACCCCGCGGGGGTCCGCGGACGTGACGGAGCTGCGGTCAGGTCCCTCGTCCGAGTCCCTTCACTTGGGGCATTTGGTGCCTTTCCTTTTCACCAAGTGGTTGCAGGAGACAGCGGATGACAGCGCATGAGAGGTTGCGAGGCTGAGAGGTCGTAGAACTCGGGATGGATGGAATGATGACGCTGCGATGCTGAGTCGAACATGAGGGGTTTGAGATGGTTTGATGATCGGCCATGAGTGGTTGGAAGAGAGGTTTTCGAGCGGAAAAAGGATGAAAGAGGTGGTGACTTCCCAGGATGAGGTTTCAAAGTGAACCCTTTTCAATCCTTTTCACATGTCTTGGACTTTATTTTTGGGATTTGCTGCTTTCTGGGGCATTTGCGGGCCCATTCCAAGAATCTCCAATTTCTATGATGCCTTTGGGATTGGTTCTCCTTGGTTTACGGCAAGCTGCTACTGAAACGATGAGACAACAATGCAAGAGCAGTTTGAATGCAGGTTTGAAACCAGTTCTGCTGAACCGTCAGGCCAGAGCTTCAAGACAAGTAATTGTGTGTGAGAGAAGCCAAGACAAGCACCCGCCACCTTTCTCTACCAACGGAAGTCATGGCTCTTCCTGACATCAGCCACTCCATAGGAGGCCTTTGACGTTCCCTTGGTGATTGAGCTCACTGATGACGAGAAATTCTTATTCAAGCGCCCTGTTGGAAGGGTGATGGGCTCTGGAATCGCACCGGCTGAACACTTGCAGGCTTGAGTCGATTGATGATATGCCCAAGCTGCCCAAGCAACAAGCCTTCCAGTCGTGTACAAGGTGTTTGTTTCACACATGTTGTTGACCCTAAGGATGTTCGACATCGATGTGACCTCCAGAAGATAGTTTCAAACTATTTCCAGAAGATAGTTTCCCCTGCTCGTCTTGTGCTCAATCATCCACCTGCCACTTGGTCCACTAGGTCAGGACCGACGCCGCGTTCTTCCAAGGAAAGACTTGACCATTGAAGAGTCCAGGCGTTTGGCATGGGAGAACGCCAAAGACGCTCGGCCCAGCTTTAAGCTTTATGAACATCACGACCTTACGATCCACGACAGGGTGTTTGGGACAAGATCCTTTTTCATGATGCAGTTGATGCACCTGATTAGCTGTGACATCATTAGCATTTCTTACTGAAGCTTGAAAGGGATTGGTTCTTTGTTGGGATGTTTTGTGTTTGCCAAATCAAATATTTTTTGTTTGCAGATCGCAGTCCCACCCATGTCTGGACCAGACCACGTTTACACTAACAGTTGTTTTTGCTCGCCCTGGATGCTTTCTTTCCAGCAAGAAACGGCTTGCGAGTTGGTACACTTCTCGTTTTGTGCGTTTCATCCCTTTTGGATCTGCAGTTTTGATTAAAATTCTCATGCCATGGGTCGTTGATGGGACCTCTTCCTTGGACATCTGCCAAATGGCTTGATGAAAGGACATCATCGCCTGCGGCTTTGATCCAAAGAAGACCTTCATCTTCCGGGACAGCGACTACATCCAGCAGCTTTATCCGGTGACGCTGCAGATCCAGAAGCGGATTTCGCTCAGGAGATCGCGGGAAGCTGTTGGAAGTGCCTATTGGAGAATGACCGGTTCTTGACTGAGCGGACTATTTTGATGGACTTCGTGCCAGGAGTCTGTGTTTGTTGTTTGGTTTGTTGGTGGTGGTGTCTATCGGAAGCTGAAAATCCGCACCCAGCCGGAAGTACTTGCAGCACGTAATTAGTGCAGAAATCTATGTGTTGGTCCACCTTTGGATATGTACCGAGCGAGGGTGTTGCTCAAAGAAAGTCCAGCAATGA